TGTGTGTGTGTGTGTGTGTGTGTGTGTGTGTGTGTGTGTGTGTGTGTATTTCACCATGGGTTTTGGAAGCACAGCATCAAAACGTAACATGCTGTTCGTAACACATCCACGTGACTAAAGTCACTACATCTTAAAACACTTCTCAGTGAAGGGAGGGCCAGGGGTGGTTGTGTGTGCGTATGTGTGTGGAGCAGGAGTGGATATAATAAAAGAGAGAATGGATACATTTTGTTTAATCTACAGTCTAGTAATGGATATGCTCCCAGCTCTTGTGTGCTTCCACCGCGAAGGATGAGTGTTCGGACGCCACGTTGAGCTGATTGATCACAGAAACGATTTCTCTCAGCATGGTTCAAACCAACTCGAAACAGGCTCGGATGCTTATGTACCATTACAGAAAGAAAAAGGCTGTCTTTCTTTTCTCACAAAATAATCAAAAATAACCGATAAGAGTATCGATAAGGAACCTAACCGATTAGCAGTATTGATAATAGTACTAATATCTATAACATCCTAACGATACCCATCCCTACCGGGAGTAGTTCGATGGCGAAGATCAATATATCCATGTGGAGAGAGAAAAGAGAGGGAGTCAGAAAGAGGTTGAGAAGGTAAGAGAGAGTGGATGAATGGCAAGATAACATAATTGGCAGCAACAGTGAAAGCCTGATCAATGCTCCCGTTGCGGGGGTCTGGCTGGCCATTAACATTTACTGACTGGGCTTTTAGCTTGGCACAAGTGATCAGCAGCAGTGAATGAAGGCATGGTAGGGGTCTTTTACCTGGCAGACAGATCCATGGGAGCTGGTTGGATAAACGATTGAGAAAGGACACAGTAGGTACTATAGTGGCAACAGAGGACAACACTGATGAGTGAAATTAAAGAGAGGTTGTGCAAGACAACCAGTCAGATTAATAAAATCTTGGGACAACTCTTTAATAAGCTGTATAGAGGAAGTATCACTGTACTCTATGTTACAGTACTTGTATTATGCTGTTGTTGTACACGATAATGAGGAAGATTTCAGCCCGAAATCGTGCTTCTTATGTGCTTTAGATGTTAGTCACAATCCAATGTAAAAACAAGCTTTACTTTCAGTGGAGGATGCCAAATCTGCTTCAAATCTAATGAGAGAAGAATCCTCAACTGTATAAACATGGCGGTGAGAGGTACCATCTGTCACACTCTTTACACATGACTGACCCACGTCATTACTGTAAAGTACTTGACTTAGCTCACTGTGTATTCCTGTGTAGAAAATGTAATCACATCTAGCAAACCATGGTGAGGACTACAGGAAAGGTTTTCTTAATGAATTCCTATAGGAAGCTTTGGAGAGAAGAGCAAGACAGATGGCCCACACTGTAATTGGCCTTCGAGCACGCGTGTGCGTGTGTGTCTGTAATGCATCTATGTAAATAACACATATTCAAGAATTCAGCTGTTGAGTGTCATTCATTTGATTATTTAAGAATGTAAGAGTGTTGACCTCAATACAAGACACAAAAACAGTGAAACAGGCTCGGTATCTTATAAAATGCATGCAAAGGGAGCGATTCAGGTGTGCCAGATGGGCTTGCGTGTCACCCTTAGACCAGTGGTTCCTAAAGTGGGTGCAGAAGCATTGTTAGCACCTCCGCCAATCAGGTTATGTTTTCAGTTTGCTTTGTTGTGTTTGTCAGCAGAAATACGAAAAAATCGTTGGCCCTATTTTCATGAAACTTGGTGGAATGGTGTAGAATGGGTCAATTTTGAAACGGTTTGGCCTTGGCAGAGGTCTACACTCTCCATGTGCCCTTCTAGTTTATATTATGCGTTCCAACACATTAAAAAACATAATTTTACGTTACATTTGAAAACCTATCGAAACAGGAGAAAAAAGCAACAAATATCAAAATCACTATCTTAAAAACTGACATGCACAGAATACTGTAATGCCACTGCTACCTGACATGCTACTGACTCACGGTTGCTGGTCGTCATAATAACAAAACACACTTTCCAGCTGGGAGGTTTTTCAGGAGCTCAGTAGTCTGAAAAATAGTGAACAGCAGAGCAAGTGATGGAAAGTTTTGACACTGTAAACAGAGCTCAAAGAAAAGCTGCTCTCAACACAGTCGGAGAGGACTGAATCTGAGTCGCGCAACAAAACTAAAATCTGTCTCACGGCTTGGCTAACGGCTGAAGAGAGAGTTTTTTGCTGCTTTTGGAAGACGGATATCCATCATCGCATTCACTGTGGTATTACACGTCCCCAATGTGATATGTGTGATGTAGCTCTCTTATCTCTATACATGAAAACAAGGCAAGAAACTGCCCATTCAACCTTAGCGGTTGTATGGGCTATTAGCAGCAAGAGTATTCATGCATTATTCATAACACCTGCTCCATTTACAAATACCCCCATGTTCACCATCTATGTATACATGGACCTTGCAGGCTTGCGCAGGTTTACAGTGCCCCAGTTGGCACCATGGTCATTATACACCCTGCTCAGTTCAGATACAGCACCCATAGCTACCATCTTATGTGTCTTACCAGAAGAGGGTGCCACAGTGCATCAGCGTTAACCTCATACAGTCGTATATCTGGTATAATACAAGAGTGGTTCATCAGATACACCCAGCTTGATGAGCTAAATCCCATGGACGTTATTAACTAAACAATATGTTGAATTAATATAAGCGAGCATGTTCTTTAATGTGTGACTCAGTAATGACTGGAGTCACCAGAGCCGTTGCACTGATTGTAGAGCCAGGCTAGTCCTGCTAATTCTGCTATCAGTGTTAAATTACATATTGACCCTCGCCAGTCAGCACATAGACACATAACCATGTCTATCAATCTATAATTGGGCTTTTTCTTTTGCCAGAGGGGCCTGTGCTCATTTACACACACAGCAATATATGGTAATAGTCTGACACACAAGATAAATAAATCTGTGGTTGTGAACTGTTGAGGATGTCTGTTTTGTGCTTGTTGGAATGTGTTCCTTCTATGAAAGGAATCCTAGCCTATGTTTTCATACCCGCAGGTATCTTTTAATTAGAATTTAGCCATTGCTTTGAGATCAGACTCTACATTGAATGACTTTTATAATAACCATTGTCTTACTACACTCACTTGCAGTAATAGTGCATTGTTTTCACCAATGCCTTAAAGCCTTTGTTTGTATCAGTTTGAATGGGAATCATGTCTAAAATTGCACAATTCAAGTGTAATGTTTATCTATCGTTGGCTTCACAAATGCACTAACTCATTCTGACAGGGGATTTTCCACAACAGGGATATGTTAGCTGTCAAGTAGCTTTTGTTTGCATTTGTCATTAGCGAGGACATTAATATGAATCAGTTGTTTGTACTGGACAGAAATCCATTGTTGCAAATGGACGGAGTCGTTGTTGCATCAGCACCATGTAGCTTTAATGTCATCTGAGAATCCGAACAGTGGTCATTTGAAATTGTGTGTTCAGGTCTTCATTTTCAGCTGGAGCATTCCTGTAGTTCCCTTAGGTATTTGCTATAAATGCTTGAATTATTCTGTATGTTTGCCAAAAACTGGATGCGCTTGTAGTTGGGGCACATTGAAAACAAGAAAAGAGCAGTATCCCATGAGAACACATGGTAAACCGGAGGTTGGGGGGGGAGGAAGAGAAGCCACGGATACACACACATACATTGTATTGTTAATGTAATAGTCATCGTCATGAATTACTTTGAATTAAATGCAGTAAGAAAACATATCATCATCATCAAGAGTTCAGTTGCACCCTGTAGTGATATTATAGTTATTTGAATGTCAAGTTTAAATTCAAATTCATCACAACACAAACCACAACTCCCCGCCGTCTGTTGCTTTTACAATCAGACGGAGGAAGTTTAATATTAAAATCAATCAATGATGCAATTATTTAATTCATTCTTGGATTTTGTCGAGGTGACATCATTTTATTTTAAATGTTTTAGGTTCTGCTCCGTCACGTATATATGGGAACAGTTTGGGACAAAACATGTATTGTGGTGTGAGTAGCTCAGAGTCTGCACATGGCTTCTGAGGTATATGTGTGTGTATGAGTACGTTAAAAGAGAGAGAGAAAGAAAGAGAAGGCAGTGTTGGCATTGATTGATTGATTGACAGGAAAAAGGGAGTTATTTAAAAAGGAATATTTCACTAATTTCTTCACTCTAATTATAGATCTTCAAATGTAGACAGCAATCACTTCCAGGACAACTCTGCTGTTAGAAACAGAAAAGTGTCCATATTTGAACAAAGATAGTCTTTCATTAACTCATCATGAAATATTAATTAAACCACCCCTATATTCCAAACCCACATCATCTTAATGTTAGGTAGGTTGTGGAGATAATAACATGCACAGCACAAGGACTTTTCAAAGGGCATCCTTGTTCACTCTGCACTGCCTCTAGAGTTTCCTCTGTTGGATTCATTCTTAAACAGTTCTCACACTTGCATTTAATCAGTGGCTACCTTTGACAACAACATCCTCACTGCACAGCCTGTTCATTATCATAATGTGGCCATTATTTAAATTTTATAAACCAAATCATGTCATTTTTTTTATTTTTTACATGTTTTTGCATATCAAATACGATGACACTTTTAAGTCCGAGCCAAACATATACATCTCTCTGTTGTCATTCAGGATAGCTGTGCACGAGTTATCCTGTTCCGGGGGGCCAATAAGGAGATAAAAAACTACAACAGCCAGACCGCCTTTCAGGTATGTGTGGTATCCAAGAACCACTGCATGTTACCATGTGTGTATTATCGTACCTTACATATTGCTGCTACATTGAATCACTGATTGCTATTAAAAACTTAAGCAGTGTAACGGCACCCAGCCACTGCTGGCTTACCATCGCGGTCTGTTTCTGATTTTCAGCCTTTCTGGTTGATGAAGTCCATGTGAAATTGAGACTGACACTTCCTGTGCACATCAAAGTTAATTTGTTTGTACATAAGGCAGGCTGTTCCGCACAGTGCCCAGAACATTGACACACATACAGATGTTACACGTCTACCACAACAAAGGACTAAATGTGTAAAACATTTATTAGGAGAGTGAGCGAAAGAAGAAGATAGGATGTATTTATATTCATTCATTTGTGTGAGTTGTTTGATTTTAATAGCTGTTCTTCCCTTTCCGTCACATGTGTTTTTCCCCTTTCCCTTCCCTTTACTCTTCTCTATCCCCACCTCCAGGTGGCTATTATAGCAGGAAACTTTGATCTGGCTGAAATCATAAAGGTCCACAAAGTATCGGATGTTGGTAAGTTGACAGCAGTGGTATTTCACCAGGCAGACTGAAGAATGAGTGTAGACAGGGGAGAGGCTCAAGGAAAGTGATTACAGGTTATATACAGAAGTGAAAATGGAAATGGATTGGAAATGTAAGGGATGTGGAGAAGGTTTCAGGGATTTATTGGATCCATGCTGAGTTGAGCTTTTTTTTTTTTTGTGACATGTACATACAGGAAAACTCTGCCATCTAGTGTAGACAGGATATAATACCCTGTGAAATGTTCAAATATTTAACAATCGATTTTAAATGGAAATCATATGTGATGTTTGTAATGTATGCTTCTCTAAATTTGAATGATAATGTTGACACTTCATCATTACACTTTAGATACACTTTACCAAGCCAGTGTGCTTGTATGTGTGAACTTAAACACACGTTTATCATTTTATGAAGAGAATACTTAATTCACAGCTACTTGAAAAAAATCCACTGATGCCATTATCAAACTACTAAACTGCTTTCCTTTATCTGTATTTGGTTTACTAATTTTTCAGTAATAAATATTAAAATATGATAATTATATGTAATATAATTTAAGATTCACTAGGAGCTACCATGATACAATATTCTCATCTCTAAGGCTTTGCTGCAGTACCATCAATACCAGATGTATCGTTGTATCACTTGATCTGTCTGTAAAAGTATACGTATAGATTATAGCTGCGTAAATATGTTGCAAATTAAATGGATTCAAGTTTGAAACAAAATTGAGTGACCGTGAGAAGTGCGGAGTTGAAGTTATTTCCCCATCAGACCATTCTGTTCGTTGTGTTTGCTACAGTGGCTTCACGTGATAAAGGTGTAAAGAGTTTCTCGCTGTCTCTTTCTCCTCTCAGTGCCTTTCAGGGAGACCCCGTCCTACACCAGCCGTCGACGTGTGACGCCTGGCCCCCTGCCCTCGCCACGTTCCTTGCTTCGCTCTGCGAGTGACAACAACCTGAACGGGGACCACGATCACATCCGCGGTCAGGCCCCGAGAGAAATTCGTGGCCGTCAGGGTCACTCCCCTGTCCCTTCACTGCGCAGCCTGCCAGCTCTTGGGCAGCAGCAGCAGCACAGCAGCCTTGGAGAGGTAAGACGGAGCTAGTGAGGCTCTGCAGGTGTGTTTGAATTTGTTATATACAGTATGTGTGTGTGTGGGGGGGGTGTGTGTGGGCATGCACATTTTAACATTTTCAAATTCCGAGTAGATGGAAAAAGTGAAGGAACAAATTACAATGTTGTACACGTGCTGCATATGATACTCACCTCTTCTGTCCTGTGTCAGAGCCGTCATGGAGAGATCCCTGACAGCAGTCTCCAGAGTACGGGCAGCTCCAGATCCTCCCATTCCCGTTCGCCTTCGCTACATCACATGCATGAAGAGGACAGGCCGGTTCCCAGAAGGTCCCACAGCCATGGCTACCCTCACGGACACGGCCATCGTGGAAGACTCAGGTCCGTAAGATTTCAAAGTCATGAGATAAGATCACATAAGACAGGACAAGATAAGATAATCCTTTATTAATATGTGTAGCATTACAGCAGCAGGGAAGATAGTGCAACAAAAAGTGGCATCAGCAAAAAACAAAACAGGTATAATAAATAAGTAATTATACAGTAAAGATATTAAGAATAAGGTAACCTTAAAACTAACAAAAACTTAAATGAGATATAACATTATTGCACATATGAAATAGGAAAAATCAAATGTTGATATTGCACATGAATGAATGAATTGATAGATTGCGTTTTTTGGTGTGTGTGGTCTATTGGGAGCAGTGTTGATTGTGATTCTGACAGCAGCGGGAAGGAAGGATCTGCGGTATCTCTCCTTCACACACCGCGGCTGAAGCAGCCTGTTACTGAAGGAGCTGCCCAGTGCTGTCATATGGTCTTTCTAGTTTCCCTGATTTCTCAACTTAACATGTTTTTAAGAGCTTTGTAAAGAAGCAAATCTCTCTCTTTATGTTCCTAATTCATGTCTCACACTTACCGGCCTTGGCAGTTATTCACATAGATGATCTTTGATTGACCTTGTGATTAAATACCTACTGTGATATTTAAACCACATTTCAAAAAGTGCCATGTGATGTGTTTGAATCACTTGTTAGTCACCAGGCAGCATTCTGCGTCTTATTCCATCTGCTACCGTCTGCTACTGGTGATAAACATGACATAACAACAATCGCTGCAAAATCCCAGGCACAAAAAGTCGTTTCCTGTTGAAACTGTGCCCGCAACCAACCCAGAAAAGTAATCTGTATAAAGCATAAACTAGGAATTGAATCTGAAAATGTTCAGATTCACAGTGGCTGATCGAAACACTGATCAGTGTGAGGTCTGTTATAATTGCATTTGGTGTAGCAGTTGTGTGGCCCATGCTCCTATCAGGGTATGAGGACAATGATCAGTGGCATGGTGTGTGTGTCTGACAGCCGTGTTTATGTAACAAGCTAGGATGAAATACTGCATTTGTCCTGCTGGGAGGACGGAGGGCAAATATCGCACTTGAAATCGCTGTGTGTTGTGCTGTGTTTGTATGCGAGGGCATGTATGTATATAGCCACTTGAAGATAGCAATGTGCATGGGTGTTTTCACAGTTCAGAGATAGACAGATGGAAAGTGGCTAATAATGATCACATTGGGGACCAATTGAAGGCTGCCAAGCTGTGAGTGTGTTTGTCGGTTTGTGTGTGAGAGATTGAGAGACAGTGGATACATTCTGAAATTAGAGCTATGAATAATATCATTGGGCGAGCCACTGAGTTCAAAACAGCTTGTCACTCGATAGATGCATAAATCCACAGATGTAGTTGGGGTGCTGGAACACATCTCCTGCCTTGTACATCGAACCATTAGACAAACTGAACAGTAAACTAGGGCTCTGATCACATCTCGGAGCGATAGATTTAAGTGGTTTACTGACACTTTGTTTGTTAAGCTTTTTATTATGATCATATGTCAGAGCAAGATCATCGATGTACAGCACACACCTAGTGTGGGTCCTGGATGCCACACACTGTGTGTGTGCGTGTGCGTGTGTCTGTGTGAGAATGAGAGTGAACCAGTCTGATGTCTGACAGGGGAATTGCATTACAGACACAGCTCCAGCCATACTCCCGTCTCCCTCTAATTCTCTGCTGTCACTTTACTCAATCCATCACAGACTTTCTCTCCCTCCCCCTCTCCTGTCATTCATATACACACACAAACACATGCACACACTGCCATTAATCTACTGTATGGTTTGCAGGCAGAGAGCAGTCAACATCCTTTATTAGATCATGTAACATGCACACGTCACACCACATAGAAACTAAAGCTCTGACGTGTGTGTGTGCCTCCTCTCTTTTTATCAAATGTTGTGCCCCATGTATGGTAACAAACTAAGCGCATCCTATTCTGCTATTTCTGGCTCTACATTGGCATTAGCGTTCACTGACAGAGGAACATATCTTTTGCTCATTGTCATTGTGCTCGTTTTCTACAAGGTTGATGGAACAGAGTGCACAGAAAAGAAAAAAAAGATAGCATGGTTAGAATGTCTGCTGTGTCCTGCTCTAAATGGCCTTCTGTAAACAGGGGAGTTGAGACTCTTTTGCATGACCCTGCCTTACACCAAGTAGTAAAGTGAGGTGAATGTATAAAAAGCCCAAAACGAGCAGCTGCTCTCCATGGCCTGAACCTGCACCCAAGTGGGACTGATGCTGTCCTTGATTACTTTCCCTCTAATATTTCTCCCTCCCCGTCTCTGTTTCTCTCTCTGACCTTCTGTTTATGGCGATGGTTTCACTCGAGGCATTATGGGTACCAGGGGAGTGTGAAATTAGTTTGGCCGGTCAACAGCCCGCCCGACGGCAGACTCCAGCAAGTTCCTGTGGAACTCACCATCACTTCCTTCTTGTGGCACGTGTGCAGTGCTGCCAGGGTTCAATAGCTTGGTCCAGGCTTTAGCAGGGACTTTAGATGGACACACAATATTAAAAATACAGTTAGGTCAGCTTTATTAGGACTAGATCACATTACAAAGACAAACATGTGGTTACGACAATCACTCCAGCTAATGCAGTTGACAATATAATAAGACATGACACTGGGTGATGATATTTTATTTAGAACAAAGCAAGTTTGCTTGTGTCATAAGAGGTTAATTGGCTACTTACCATGATGTGCTGTCAATACAAAGAGATAATTAATCATCAAGAGCATTCTGTCTTGACAGTGTGTCAGTGTCTGAAATTCTGATATTGAGACGTGCACCTTAGGACCTACCCATCAGTCTTGGTTTGGAAGAAAAGCTCTGAAGCTAAATAAATACATATTATGTTGCAGAGCAGGGGATAAACAACTATTATCTTTTCCATTTACAGTTTGTCGCTTCTGTTTCAGTTTTCTTAGAACAGCAGCGAATGTGTGAACACAGAATTCACATTTTCGACCAACTTCCTTTGTAATTGTGATAGTGATATCACTTTGTACCAGTATTTATTAACTTTGAAAACAAGGTTTACATGAAATCTGACTGGTTTGGGCAAGAGATATGCAAGTCTTTTTCTAAAAGTCGCGTTTATTAAAGCGTTGCCAGCACAGGTTGTGTTAAATCCCCACACAGCAGGCCATTGGTTGGACAAATGTTTGAATGACCCTAGCCTTTATCTGAATAGTAGTGGAGGAGATTTGAACGTGGGGGGGGTAAAGATGCAGTCACACAACATTACTTTAAACATGTTGTCATGTAAGGTTGTCGTGGTAGCTAGTGGTGCCATTGAGCAAGAAACTGGCATTATTATGTGTTGTACCCGGACCCATCATGATGAATAATGGCATGAATAAAGGCAACAAGCCCAACATGGGGGTGTCACATTACCTTCCCCCTTTACAGTCTTTGTTTGTTACTGTTCTCCTCACCTCTCCCTCTTTCTTTGCATTAGTTACACAAGTTGCTGTTAGTGTGTAGATTATACATGGCGCGTTAACACAGCCAAAGGGCTGAGCTACACAGAGAAGAAAGGAGGACAGGAAGACAGGAAGAGGAGGAGAAGAAGAGTTGAGCTTCTTCTGCTTCACCTGTGGAGAATCCACATCAAAGGAGGACACACTAGTATTGGTCTTTGCATAGTTTGTGTCAGAGGGTGATGCTGATAGGCTAACATTAATCTATTTTGCAACTTATCCTCCGTCTTTGTTCAAAACACTGATGCTCTCTGCACTGACCTGGCCACACACAATAAATTAACACAATACAATCGGGTCATGCAGTATAACGCCCCTCATAAGTGTCACAGCCATTTACAGTAAGATACATGCACAATATATAAAACTGACTCTAAGAATTTAGCATGTCTGAATGCATCAAACAATGTGGATATGGACTACAAATAGTAGAGTCTCCCCCGATTGTGTAACCGTAACATGCCAGTAGTTTAGGTACCTTAACTCCTCTTAAGAATCTTCTGCCACTCATTGCGGTCCGGGTCGTGGGAGCAGTAGAATAACATGGAATCCTTGATGTCCCTCTTGCCAGCCACATCCTCAGGCTCTTCCTGGAGGATTTTGAGGCGTTCCCAGGCCAGATTGGATGTGTAATCCACCGAGCGTGTTATGTGTCTGCCTTGAGGTCTCCTTCAGTTTCATGTGCCCATGAGGGTTTTACTTTGAGCTCCTATGCATATCTAAGCCCTTCACCTTTTCCCTGAGGGGTGAGCCCAGAGACCCTGTGAAGGAAATACATTTTTGCCTTCTTGTATCCATGATCTCCTTTCTGATACTTTCCAGAGCTTATGGCCATAAGTGACGGTTAGAACGTAGATACATTTAGAGCCTTGCCTTTAGGCTCGGCTCTCTCTTCACCATGACAGTCCAGTAGAAGACCTACATTACTGCAGGCGGTGCATCGATACACCTGTCAATCCCAGATTCCTTTTTACCCTTGCTCGTAAACCAGACCACAAGATAATTCCTTCAGTTTGATTGGGAGCAAATTGTTTATGACTCTCTTCAAGCTGTAGTCAAGTACTGGATGGCTCAGAGCAAGGCCCTAGTTCCCCATATTCCCTCCACACACCCTCAGGGACTTTCTCAGAAGTCTTCGTCAAGTTCATTAAGCACTTAGAGCCTTTTGGAGCCAGAGTCTCTCCAAACGCCTTTTCAACAGTCTATAGAAATCGGCTCAGTTGCTACATAAAAATAGGCAGTGTAAATGCTATCCGAGCCACGAGACTATAGTTTGGTCATTAAAAAGCTGAGTAGGTAACACTTTCCTTACACCATTCACATAGAAATGTTTTCTAATACAGTAAATCAGAACACATGCAAAAAGGTATAGAGCAAATATTTTAGTGTAGAGAATATTGGACTGAAAAAGACACCAAAGCATATTGATGTTGTCAGTTTTGGCTATTTAGTTTGTGTATTCTTAGGTTACATGTTGATCACACCGATTGAATCCTTCTTCGATTTGCACTTGATGCCAGTCTCTTTGAAGCATAAGCTGTCCGTGTAGAAACAGATTTGCTGTTCACAACCTGAATATGTCCTTCCCCAATGAGTCCTCAGGACACTTCCACCTTGAAAGCAATAAACACTCCCACATTGCACAAGAACGACTGGGACAGCACATGTTCATTCAAGTGCAGCAAAACAAGGACAGACAGATGATCATTAGGATGCACAATGTGATGAGGATTATGACTTTGTTTATAATGTGCTCATCTCACCTTAGAGAGCTGTGCTATTTGAGCCAGATAAAAAAAAAAGCCATTTACCTGAGAAGACAGAGCAGTCAAGTGTGAAAATGCTACAATGAAGCAGCTTATTTTGATAGCATCTCTGTAAATGACATTTTGTGACATTTGCAGTTGCATCTTCAGAGCGATGTATGCAGTTCATAGATTTTGACGACAAACTGAGACAGCTGGACTCATTATTGAGCTGTTTAAATGTTAACCTGTCTTTAGTGGTCTCATTGATCCTAATCAAGCATCTGATAGCTGGCATGCCCAGGTTTTTTTTATTAATTGAGACTTCTGCTAAGGGCCACTTATCTAAAATAATCTCAAATTTGATCCAATCTCGAAAAAACTGATGAAAAGGTGAACGGCATGTAATAAGATGCACATGTTTGCTCTTGATCTTGCACACAAATATACTTCAAAACCCCATCAACTGATTTGTTCTAGATATCTATTTACACAAACTGAACAGTTTGTTTAAATTAGCTCTTCCCATTCTGAGTGCTGCTATAAAAGACTTTTTGTGAAACCAAACAACAAATTCATGTTGCAAAGATACAGTTAATAGCATTTATACAGCTATCCACAAAGGGTGGAACCCCCATACTGTAAACTATACAGGATGAAACATTTATATTTGCAACTTATTGTATTTGATATCCCTTTATTTGCATGAAGAATAAAATAATATTGGGTCAAGGTCACTGATATCTGAATAAGCTGAATTACAGCTTCCTCATTCAACAGCTGTATAGTGTTTTTTTCGGTGTGAAATGAGAATATAGACAGAAAAGAGTCAGTTGGGATGCCAATGATATATGACAGTTGACTGGAGATCCGAGTGCATATTATTGACTACTGATCAGTGCATTTGTTGGCTATATCTTCTTTCCTTTTATTGACAGTTGCCATCGTTACAGAGGCAGGGCTGGTGTCCTAGGAAACCATGGCGCTTTTGTAATATACCGCATTATAACTTTGTGTGTGTGTGTGTGTGTGTGTGTGCGTGCATGCAATGGATCCTTCATCTGTATCTTGTAGAAGCTACTTATAATGAGGCAGAGTGAAAGAGACGGAAAGAGAAAAAAGATACAACAAAGAAAAGTACGCAAGAAAAAGAGCTGTTGCAGATGTAGCAGAAAACGGTGAATCATGTCATCTTGCAAAATTCATCTACCAAGTGGCAACACCAATGCTCATTGGTTGAAAAAAAAAAAAGTAGATATCATGCTGAAATTAAATTGATGTATTGATCTCTAGGTAGAATACTTTTTCATATCCAGTTTTCAACAGGACTATGAATATAGGCATGAAACCCTTGCAAAATCATCAAGAGATGCAACTCTGGAGAAAAGCAAGAACACTGAGTATTTGTCGTGTCCCTCTTGAATGCAGATGAGAAATAAATTAGAGATACTAAACAGTTTTTTAAAGCTTCCTTTAAAGAAGAGTCTGCTCTTTGCTCTCATTTGGTCTAATTTCAAAGTAACTGTACAAAGCTTTCTGGTAGACCCTTCCAACTGTATTACAGCCAGAGAGGATATGTAATAATGTAGAAGTGCAGTCTGAGATATTACCAACCCGTGGGCAAACTATAACACTAATTATTATAAAGGTAACTTAAGAGTTAAAGTGCATCCTACGGAAATTGCTTTCACATTAGAAATGGTCAAATCTTACATGGTAAATGTAAAGAGGGCAGATATTAGATTGTAGAAATGTGATCAAATTAATAAAAGACATTTAGGCATATCACACTTCATAGATTTGGATGTTTCTGAATTTCTGATATCTGATCTCTGGCAAAAGTCGTACAGTATTTTTATTTAAAATGTTGAAGTGCAGTTGCCAATTTAAGCCTCATACTGTGAAACACAAACTCGTCATTAAACACGAGATAAGAGCAGGAACCACCTCCACCCCCTCCCTTCTGTCTGACACATCGATAACATGTCTACCCGACCGCCATCAGCTCAACTGCAGGGAGCAGCTGAGGTCAAGCTGTGTACATAATCTTACAGTATGGTGTGGCAGAGGTATGTGAGTGGCAATTTGAGCCATTGAAATAGATATAATTTAAGGGATCTAATTTTTGTTTCCCTCTCTCACTTTGACACAGTCCCATTTCCTTGCTTCTCCAGCCCTCCCCCCTCTTCACTGTGTGCTGCTGATGTTCAGTGCCGGGGCTCAGACATTAACATGCAGCAGCTATCCAGCCCCCTCAGTCCCTGCGGTAATTGGAAAGCCGTCAGCAAGCCGTTGTTTCGATGGAGAGAGGGGATGGGGGGGCAGAGAAAGAGTGGCTGTTTGAGATGGGGAGAGCCAGAAAAGCAATAGAGAGTTGGGGAAAGAAAGAGACAAACAAGACTTGATATGAGGAAAGCGGTAAACAAACAAATGGGGAAAGAAGGTTAAAGGGCACCTGAGGCTAGAATCAGATGAATGAAAGAATGATGGCCATAAAGTGACTGATACAACGTGCTGGGGGAGGAACTGAACGAGGGTGAAAGGTGCATTGACAGGGATGAAGGGTTTTAAAGATTTCTAGTCTTTAAAGGAAATGTTGCAGAGAAAAACAAAGTCAATCAATGTCCTGTTCATGATCAAGTTGTAATATACACTAGTTCACTCTCATGCAAATTGTAGATCAGATTAACAACAGTGTCGGATTTTATTAAATATGATTAATATGTATGTATGGGGTTTTCATGTATGTTAAAATATGCTCGAGGGAAATCTTTGACAACACAAGCAGCAGAATGATGCTGAATGGAACTTCCACCGTGGTGGCAAGGTACTGTAGTGATGAATGGAGACTAGGCGGAGCTCTGCCGCTGCTGTATTAGAATTAACCGCCAGAGAGAGAATGAAGGAGGGTGAGAGAGTGAAGATGCAATGCGAAGAAATGTTGAGGAGGAGAGGGATAAGAGGGGGATTTGGAAGTGAGAGAATGAAAGAAACAAGGAGGGGATTCAAGGCAAAGGGAAAGAGGGAGGAGCGACAATTAAACCAAATGGGCTGGAGCTTTTTGCCCCCCGCCCCACTGCACACAAGCACACACACACACACACACACGTACATACTCACACAGCCTGCCTCAGGGAGCCATGGCGCATGCACGCTTGCAGGCAGACAGGCAGCAGGAGATCAATCGTGCTTTGGGACTAGTGTGTGTATGCGAGTGTCAGCGATGTGTTAGCATCATGCTGGTGGTGGTGTATGCCATGCTAGCGGAGGTGCAATGTTAGCAGGAGTGGAGGGGGCTGTCTGTGTATGTGCCTGTGCGCACGGCTAGAATGCACATAGAGGGCTTGTGGTGTGTGAGCGAGCCGTCAAAGGGTAGGGGAGCCGCGAAGAGCAGCAGCAGCAGCAGCAGCAGCATTGTCAGAGTGTGTGTGAGTGTGAGTGAGCGAGCGTTTGCGTGTGAGGGGTGGAGGGGAGAGGAGAGGCAGACGCGGCGGGACTCCCAGGAGAAGGAGCGGGAGTCGGGGAGCAGACCCAGCCTCTCTCCTCCACAGCAGGAGTACCAGGACTCAAGGACGAGGCAGGATCTGTAACCCAGCTTGGAGCAGCTGGAACTGGGGACACACAGGGATCTCTCTCCCTCTCTGGAGGGGGCTTCTTCTGGAGTCCCAACTCAGGATGTGTTTGACTGATGGGGGCTTTCAGACGGATCTGACAGATCCACACAGAGAAGGAAACAGTGCAGTCCCTCTTATCGTCAAACATTTCTGCTTCTACCTCGTGTAGGATACGGGGGAGAGGGGAGTGAAAGAAGGAGAGGGTAAACGGGAGCAAAAAGGGTATTGTCTGTGCTACTGAAGAAGGAAGAGAGGGAATAAGAGGAGGAGGAGTGTACTCTCCTCTCATGACTCTCCCATTGAACACTGACTGTTAACTGTTGATCGACAGGCACTTGGACTTGTTAATTAATGAATTCTCCCTGGCCAGCGTAACAACCAGGGGGTGTCACCAGGTTGCTGTCCCGCTGACAGCCATGTCGGTGACCACAGGCTTCAGTTACCAGCTCCCTGGAATCACCACAGTAACATATGTGTTTGTTTACAGCCCTGGCTCAGTGCAGAGAGACCCAAGCCCCCCTCATCACACGCCTCCAGCACTGACGGGCCCCCGTGGGCCCAAACGGAAACTCTACAGTGCTGTCCCGGGACGTACCTTCATTGTGGTCAAGCCCTACACACCACAAGGGGAGGGGGAGATCCAACTCAACCGTGGAGAGAGGGTCAAAGGTATGTTGTCTGCTAATGTTCGTCTACATGTTGTATCACCTTACATAACCTAACTCTGTAACTTCTACTTCTGGACTCCACTGCTGTTAATGTTCTGTATTTCATCACTGCTCGTTATGTGTAGGATGTCATGTACAGTTTGTGGCTACATGTGGCTCTCATGACTTTCAGTGCTGGATTAGTTGCAGAATAAAAGAGCAGACATTCCTGTGCTCTTATACGTCTCGGATACAAAGCACACCATTACTTCACTAATCATTCAAGCTGGAAGTCATTTCCATGTGGTTGGAGCTTGACATTGTGAATTGTCATTTCATCCATTTGTAAAGGTGCTGTTTTCTGCTTTACACAGGGGTGCAGTGGCTTTGCGTTCATGTGTTTGTGTGTGTGTGCTTTTGTCTCTCCATCCACGCTTCACTCAAGACTATGACTGTAATGACGTAGAAGGTAAACTCCATACTATTCTTCTCACCCTGTATCTCTCCCATACACCTCAGTGTGTCAACACTACACCTACAGTGTAGCAAGTAGTTCCTGGCCCTGTTTGAATCCACTTGAGATATGTGTGCAGTCTCAGCATAAATCTGTGATTACTTCAAGGAGAGGGCATGCAAATTCAAACAGGTCCCGTGTGCTGTTGGTTGTTGGTGTGCATACACCCCCCCCTCTGTCCTTCTTCCCCCTGAACATATAACTGCTTTTGTCCCTCCTCATATCACCTGTCCACGGAGACCCAGCTTCACATTGACCCCACACCCTACATCCTGCCACTTCACATACATCACCATGGATCAAACCCACATTAGCCTAATGGAAACAGTTCCCTCATGATCTCAGTAAGGCCGGAGAGAGAGAGAGAGAGAGAGAGAGAGCGGTCGCACTCATGCTGAGACCTCTCATGTTCCTTTCAGATCTACAGAGGCACAGCAAGTGCAGATTAAGGGTCAATTTGGAATTTCAATTTGGATTTTTTTGCAAACAACCACACACACAAATATTTGGATCAGCACTAGTCTAAACCCACTCACAAGAACCCTTCTCTCTGCCTGGATACATACTGAAGTATTCCCACCCGTTCCTACAGTAGATGTTTCCTGTCTTGCAGCTTCTCTGACCTTAAAAACATTTACTAATCGCCCTCCTCCTGTCTGCTTTGATGTCTCGTCTTCATAGTATTGTGTCTGTTTTATGGAAACACAGCTGCCATGTACACAGGAATTACTAATACAGATGATGAACAATTCAGACTCAGCAATTCAGACTCATGTTTTTGCCAAACAAAACCAAATGATACAGCATTGTCTGAAACAGTGATGACGCAAATGATGTTGACACAAATGTTATCGGAAATGTGATGACTCAACAGCAACCAGTATGCCTCTATCTATTGAATGGATCTGCTGTCACTGGCTTTTCTGTCAGTGCAGCTGAATCCATAACCCTGCCACTAATGTGAACACACAGTATTTTGCTGTTCTTTCATGTTGGCCATGCAGGAAACAAGCTTCCAGTCACATGGCTGCCAGCACCATGGCCCAGCCAAGTAAACCATCTGGCTGTGATATGCAACACTGACCGTCATAGCCATTACTGTGTTGCGTTCACTATGCTTCTGTAGTCCGGGGATAGAGACTGAGAAATACGTCACTGATGTCAACTGGTTGTTGAACAAGTTCTGTTTACTGCATGTAATCCTAGCAGGGAATGACCAGTCCTCCTTGTGCACAGAGAGGCTAGGCCCGAGAAGCCACTTCCTCTAGGGATGGATGACCCTTGGTTTGATACATAATGCATTTCATCTAATCTGCATTCATAAATGGAAGAGTTGCTAATAGTAATAGGGCCCATTTGCAATGGAGGACAAGAGGCGGCAAGGCAATTGAAAGAGAGAGCAGACGATAGGAGGATTAATTTATTTATCTTTTCCTTTCTAATCCTCCTGAATAAGGTGACGAGCAAATCAAAAACATCTACACCTTAAGCCCCTGAAGTAAATATCAATCGAATTATTTGTACCTTGAAGCTAACCCTGATACTGCTTCAGACTAAAAATATGTTGATGATTCAATTATCGCCTCTATAACCCCCCAAACACACGCACACACACATATATATACACAGTCACTCATACACTCATCTCTGTCTTCTGGTTCCTGTCCTCACACCCTTGTTAATCACCAGCCATACCAGAGGGGCATCTTTATGATGAGATCAGACTGGGTAAAGCTCACTAAATGATTTGTCTGGTTGTGTTTGTGTGTGTGTGTGTGTGTGTGTGTGTGTGTGTGTGTGTGTGCCGTGTGTTAGCACCTATGCTTATAAGCATTAGCATAAATGTCTATTAGCTCACCTGTTAGTAGGACAGATTGGTGGCCTGTTGAGGCAAGGACTATTGTATGCTGTACAGGGAAAGATGTGTCTCCGCTAGTCGCATGTCGATGTGTCCTTGAGCAAGACACTTAACCCCAAAATTGCTCCCGTAGCTGTGCCTACGGTGTAGAAATGTGATAGACTCTGAATTGTAAGTCGCTTTGGATAAAAGCGTCTGCTAAATGACTGTAATGTAATGTAGAGATGGATGACTATCTGGACTCAGATGGTAAATAGCGTATTAGCAAGGCTTCACATGGCACTTTGTTTCGAAGTCTTGATATTCTGATGATTAGTTGGCTGTTGCTTACTGCAAGATATTCATCACAATTTGAGTAGAAAATGTCTCAAAATGTAATGAGAGCAAGCTGTTTAACCAGCTTCATTTTACAGCTAAAGAGTGCTTTTAAATTCCAAACCCCGTCTTAAGTAAACTGAAGGGTCAATTATTGATTGCTTTTTTTTGCACAGCATTTCTGTATTTTTGCAGTGTACAAAAGCCAAATAAAATGAAAAACTCCTGTTAGTCATTTCCTGTTGAGCTTCCCCATAAATATGATCAGAAATATCTAGTATGTAATCTACACTGTAGCAGTATGGTGGTATATTGATGACAAAATATTTGGGAGAGTGCAAAGCAAATTCTAAGTGCTAGTCGTCTGCAGGTCAGCCTTTCAGAGCCCACAGGCACGGACTCATAAGAGCCAATCAGAAGATTTGAACGTGAAATCCTGATCGTTTCTGAGACTGCTTTGTCAATTTTTTGTATCTGTTTTGGAAGCTTTTAAGCACTTGAGATTAAGTTCAGCCAAAGGCTGGCAATTTAACTGGTCCCCGTATTTATTCATAATGGTAGGTTGTATTTTGGCCACACCTATTCAGAAAATAATGTCATTCTGAATTTAGCCACAGTTCCAGCTTCAAGATTCACATAATCACATAATGAAAGAAAAATGTTCACTTAGGCTTACAAACATAAAAACAGACACACATGAAAGATACCCATGAACTTGCATTAAAAAACAAACAAATGTTCGTAATAATAGTATTATTATTTTCAGTTTGAACCATTGTTTTTAAAAAAAATCCTCCATAGAGTTGGATCAGATAACAGTAAATCCAACCACTGCCTATGAGGCTCATCAGATTTCTTCAGGCATTATTCAGCTGAGTGTGACAATGGGCCTCACTCAAATGTTTTTCTTACAATGGTTCTAATAACTTTCTCTGCTAAAATTTAAAAAAACTAAAAAGAAATCTACATCTGGATCTGAAAAATCACACGAGTTAACACAGCCACTTTAATTAAAAAGCTGGTAAATACTTTTTCATTAAATTGACTCTCAAAATAACTCGACCATAATGACTTACTTTACATAATAGATCATTTGCGAACAATTTATATGTGATTTTGGTAATTTAGTGTTAACGCATTTTGATTTGTACGATAATACAGGTACTGCTATTAATCTACATCTGGTGATTAAAGAGTGCCACTGTCCCGACTTTTATTTTGAAACTAGAGGGAAGGGTTAACAGGATGACCCTTCACTTCCAGGTCGAATAGAGCAGGTGAGTCTCTGGTCTCAGTCTAAGTTTGTGCTCAGGGGAGTCGGAGTGTCCAATGTGAGCGTACAGCTTTGATCATTACGAGTGTGATAATACCTATTGCTGCTCAAATATATATAATATACAATTATTTTGTTCAAATCATCTGTTAAACCCGCAATTATTAAGCCCTCTCAAACGTTGACTTGCATACTGTGTAGAACTCTGCTGTGTTTTTTGCTCTCTCATATATTTAGTTATCTGCATAAAGCGGTAACCTATAGTATGTTGTGGTGGGATAGTAGTAGTAACTTAATTGTAGATAGCAATAACTATATTTAGGTTTGAGCATCGTGATTTAATTAATGTGTTTACTTGTACCGTTTACAGTAATAAAGTATTATTATATATGCCTTATAGCTGACTTCCAGTATAATGAAGACGATGACGATTATGCCACTGACATTAATGATGATGATGATGAACATGAAGGTAAAATGAATATTTTTGTTTTTAATTTTGAGAGGATGACAATGTGGAGAATGTTTTTTTTTTTCCATTCTGCTACCCCAAACAAATGATGTGAATGTTGCAGGTTTAGTGACTTCAGTGACTGAGAATCTTTATGCATATTTTCAATTTCACAATTTTGATCTACAGTGTGAACCAATCGGAAAAAATAATACGGAAGACTTATAGGGTTCTCGAAATTGTCATGTGATTCCACATTTTCATCCTTCATTTTCACTTAGACTTGCACAAGATGCACATATGTACCCCCATGGACAACAGTAGATGGGCTTTAAATGTGTGTTTCAATGCCTGAATCAAATGCTACAGTACTGTAGTGTCCCCATGAGCATGTGTTTTAGCCAATCAGTTTCTCCTCCACGATGAACTGCTTGGAAAAACTCCCAGTCTTTCCTCAGTGATTGTCAGTCCATCGGTCCGCTGTCTGAAATCAATGTCTCGAGACAGCCTTCGTCTAGACAAACAGCCCCGCTGTCTAACAGGGTCATCCACATTCAGCTCTCCAAGCAGACTCTTAGTCTCATGTAATAAGACGTTTGTCCTTCTTCACT